GAAGCCTCCGGGAGGGAGCCGCGGGCGTGCCAGCCGCGTCTGGGGTGCTCTGCCCACCGTGCACCCCAGCTTCCGGCCAGCATGGCGGGGCGCGGCCCTGGGGCTCCATCCGGGGCCCTGGGCATGTGCCGTGGCCCCCGCGTGCCGACGCCTTGAGCCAAGAAACGCTGTGCTCGTGGCCCGTGGCCCCGTGGCGCCGTGGGCTGTTGGGAAGCCGCACGCCTGCTGTGGACGGCGGGCTCCCCCCACCCCACCCTCGGTCCCCTGCCCGCCGGCCCGCGCTGGGGGCTGCGACTGCGACTGTGACAATAAACGGGCAGACGTGCCTGCTGGTGTCCGACGGTGTCCAGCTCGCGCGGCCACGGCCCTCGCGCCGCTCCGCCTGCCCGCGGCACGTCTGGTCTTGCTTCCAGCGCCGGCGGTGACCCCTCGCGCATGGGGGCACACTGAGGTCGGGACGGGCGGCCTGCGGGGGAACCTGGCGCAGCTGCGGGGCCCCAGGGACCCACCTGCCAAACACGAAGCCACGCCGCTGCCTGCCACACACCTGGACCCCGCAGCCTGGCCCTGCCCCGAGAGGGACCGGGGTCTCTCCGGCCGGGCCACGTGCCAGCCCCTGCGGAGCGCTGGCTGCCCGCCGGGCCCCCACGGAGGGCGGGGGACGTTTTTCTCCGTCCTTCGGGGTCCCCGCTGGGTGTGAAAATGAAAGGCAGCGCCCGGAGGGCGGCTGCAGGTGACCGGCCCGCGCGTGGGCAGGGCGGCCCGCGTGGGCAGTTCCCGGGTTTGCTGCCGCCGCCCTCCTGCGTGGAGGGCACTCGCGCTGCTCTGGGAAACAGCTGTCCGCGGCTTCGTGAGGCCACACTGGCCCCAGGACCCCGAGCAGAGATTAAGGAACTGGGGGACAGGGAGGTGCCGGCAGAGAAGCAGCGCAGACGACTGTCCCTCCCACGGGCGCGCTGCCCGTCTGCCCTCACACCGTCCTGAGGCGACGTGAGTGCTGGGTCCAGCGACACGGGCGACGGGGCCTGTCGCTGCCCAGCGGAGCCGGCAGCCTCCACGCCTGGCCCGGGGGCCCCCTGCCGGCCCTGCAAATGCCTCCCCTTGGGGGCTGGGCCAGGAGGGTTCTGGCCCCCATGGCGCCCCAGGAGGGCCACCTGCCCGGAAGGGTGCCCAGCAGCCGCCTCCCCACCGGGTAGGGCCGATCTCTGGGCGCCCCTTGAGCCCAGCAGTCAGCCAGCCAGCGGCGATGCTGGGGGTGGGGGGCGAGAGGCCAGCCCTGGGGGGCACCGCAGGAGGGGGCCCCCGAGGGAGACAGCGCTGCCTTCCCCACCGCAGGGAAGGTGGAAGCCTGGGAGCGGGGTGCAGGTCAGCGTGGCCTCCTCTCCAGGCGGTGGGCCCGTCCTGGCTGCGTCCTCCGCCTCTGTGTCCCGGTCCACTACCATCACTGC